AAACGCGACCCTTTAGTGAGAATGAGACGTCGCGACGACACCACAAGTGCCTCAGATTGACAAATGCTGATCGAGCTTTAGCGATACGAAGAGAAACTTCTTTGTTGATAGTGTTGTCAGCAGAAGCACAGCTCCCAAGGTAAACGAAACTATCTACCTGTTCTAGTTGTGCACCTTCGAGAGTGAGTACGGGAGCAGGTGAAAGCCAATCCTTGAGCAGTACTTTACATTTCGATGGGGCGAAGCTCATGCCATAGTTAGATGCTTCAACCGCCAAACGATCCAGAATGAGTTGCATACTCTGAAGATCGTCACCAAGTAAGTCGATCGTGCGCTCATCCGGTAGAAGCTCTAAGCCAAAATGTTGGAAACTTTCTAGAGCATTCGACAGAACGTCTTCGATTGCGAAGTTGAAGAGGAATGGGGACATAGAGCAACCCTGTCGCACACCGCTATTAACAGCGAATTGCGAGGAAAGCTTGCCATAGACCCTAACTCTACCGGATGTATGAAGGTAAAGTGCTTGTAAGATGGCAGTATATTTCTCCGGCACCCCCTTCCTTAGCAACCAACGCCATAAAGCAGGTCGATCAACGGAGTCAAAAGTGGCACGTATGTCTAGAAATGCAATGATAGTGGGCCTGTGATAAATGTGGCGATGTTCGAGGAGTTGGCAGAGAGTGAAGATTTGATCCATGCATCCGCGGCCAGGACGGAAACTAGCTTGTTATTCACGGTAGTATGATTCACGTACTGGGGATAGTCTGCGAAGCAGAATGGATGCCAATAGCTTAGAGGCAACCGAAATAAGACTAATCTCGCGATTATTTACACATGAAGTGCGAGTGCCTTTTTTGAAAATTGGGACAATAACTGATTCGCCCCAAGAGGAAGGCACTTTCTCTTCATGCCAAATTTTTGTGAGCAGCGCGGTCAGGTGGTTAAGGATCGCCACACCGCTGTACTTGAATAGCTCCATAGGAAGTCCGTCTAAGCCGGCAGCCTTAAAGCGCTTCAAGCATCGAATCTCGAGGCAGACTTTCGCTACGCTGGGTGGATTCAGGGGGACGAGCCAGGGTGGACAACAAGGTGTATTGCATGTACTGATAGATGGTGGAGGCTAGTTGAACTGCGAGTGAAAGTGCTCGGCCCAGCGGTCCATACGCCTCTGTTGGTTGGTGGTCGGAGACTCATCCACCTCACAAATGACCTCACTGACTCCAGGCTTCCTGAGGCTAGTGGACCGAATGAGTTGGAAAAGCCTGCAAGTGTTGCCAGAGAGGGCAGCGGTCTCCATCTCTAAAGCACGCTCAGACCACCATGTCTCGCGATCCTTGCGTAGGCTTTGCTTGAGCAGCCGGTTGGCAGAACGGCGCCGCTCGTTGCAATCTGATTCCGCTGGGATATCTTTGGGGTGTTCGAACAGCTCCAGAGAAGGAGCAGAGATCCAAGCCATCAAGAGGCGTCGAGTTAGGCCGCAGCAAGACTGTCCGGAAATGGTCCTCGCTTTCCGTATACAAGTCCAGTGTTGTTCCACTTCTTGCGGTGGATTGCAACTGAGTGCATATGCCAGTGAAGACTGATAGCTCGCCTGGACAGAGGAATCAGTTAATCTGTTTACATCAATCTTGCGGTGCTTCGTGTTTCGGGATCTTCCAAAACATATACAGATTTTCGCGCAGACCAGAGCATTATCTGAGTCAACGAAGGTGGACAAAAAGGACCTGCAGTCCAGTACGCTGCCGCACCATATGAAGCTAATTGCAATGTGATCAATGTGCGGCCACAGTTGTGTTGGCGAAGGGGGATGCCACGTTGCGGAACGCTTCTTCGGACGCCTGAAGTTAGGGCTTGAAAGAAACAGACGGTTGTCTTCGCACAATGTGAGAAGTCACTCTCTCGTTATCAAAGCGGTTCTCATCAAGTTTGTGATGACCACCGAGGTGGCGTTCGTATGGTACCAGGCGACTAACCCGTGCATTAAAATTCCCAGCAAGGATAAGGACATCGGACTTTTAGCATTAGTCAAGAGCTGATGTAGATCCCGGTAGAATTCGTCCTTACCCGAGTCACCATTGCGGTCAGTTGGAGCGTACACGGAGATCCCAAACAAGTTGTGTCTCTCTTCATGGTGTCTGTTGATTCTGTATGAACCCCGAAGCCGAACTGCACATAGTCGGCTGTTAATCGGGAACCAGTCCAGTAGTGCCGCCTCGGCCTTGCCACTTAGTGCTATATCTACACCAGCCAAAGCCGGTGAGGCTGCTTCTGGATCTCCAGAAAGACGCATGTGATTTCTGACTTCGTGGTCAGTGAAGGATGTCAATGTAAGCACAGAGCTGGGATCTTGCAATCGGGTTTCTGAAAGGCAGCAGACATCAATGTCTAGGGAATCTGGAGTGCGTGTTAGACCGGATTGCTGTCCATTCTGCATGAGTGTCCGAACGTTGGAGCACGCCAGACGGAACGAGGATCGGGGTCGAAGGAGAGCCATAGGTTGAACTCCTTGGTCTGCGGTGCAACCGGAATCTCAGCCAGATTGTTGAACAGATGAATCGGGTAACGGAAAGTTGGGGTTGTTAGCAAAAAACAATTGGCGTGTATTGAAGTCGCGTGAAAGCGACTAGCAAAAACAGTGTCTGATGAGCACGTTGTAACCCAGTCCGTGTACTGTTCGAACGGTGGGCAAATAATTTATCATAGATCTTTCCTTAGCTGTCTTGGAAAATACCGTATGTGATCGCGTCCGGGTTTATTGAAGGGTTCCAAGACCGCTCTACCGAACACAGTAACACAGTTGGTTAACTAGCCCAAAAGTTATAAGGCTGTACTCATTGGTGTAGAGCGGCTATTGTTGCTGGAATCGTGATCTTTTGAGAATAATTTTGTGCAATATCGTTCAGATGATAAAGCGAATTACTAACATCCGAATGAGTGTAGGCTGAATGTGTTTTCAGAAAGTGAAGAGAAACAAGAGCGCAAAAGCAATGCCACTACACGACATGTCCGTTTGCCTCCGGTATATTCTCTTTCTCTGCGATCGCCTGCTAGCTGTTACATAAAAAAATATTACGGTGTTTATCATATACTTGCCTATCTGCTACTTTTGAGGTGGTTCCGGTAAATTTTGCAATGGATAGTTATATCTTGCGTTTCTTGTCCCTTTTCACAACCTATCTGCCACTACTACTTGATGCTGTCCTTCTTTGGTCCGTAAATGGATTTCTCACCTTGTATATAAGTGTTTTGCCCCCACAAAGATCCTAGACACCGTTTTAATAGGATACCACTCTTGGAGACACGCTGTGTCTTGCTGCTTCATTATTCCTCTCTTTGTAGCACTTTGAAAACGCAAGTAACCTCTGTTTCCTTAAAGCCGAATTTTAGACGCAAAGTTTACTATCCAGTGCACAACCTTTTGGATTAACCCTATTTCCTGGCAACATCTGCTGGTGGATGAATTTACTGAGTGATCGGCATTTCGTTCAGTGTTTCCCGTCGAAACAACTGCGAAGCACTACTAGGTTCTCCACACATTCGCATCTGTTACATGAAGGGTTGTGATACGTTTATCCACGATGAGTTACTTTACGCTCGGCTTGCCTCTGGGTGTAGTGTGTTTTTCTTGTATCTATATCTACTCTTTCGTTTTGGAGGTCAGTAATTGTATTTCGGCTCGATAGCTGAGGTGTTTTCCACCTCTCACTAACTTAAATGATGATGATTTGTTTGAGCTGTTAAGTTTGCCACATACCAATCAACTGACTCGTGAAATAACGGGCTGGCACTTCGCCGAATTATTCAGAACCGTGTAGACGAACTGTTTGTTTATCTGAGTTTGAGCTTGCGTTGGTGACGACGCCTCGCTTCACACAACATGCACACTCACCTGGTTTCTTCCTACTCCTTTATTGATATCATGCAGATAGTGGTATCACGCTTTCCGCACATCAAACTGCTCTACTACAGCCCTAAGCGTTAACAGGTCGAGGCACGCTGTTTGTAGTGTTCCCTGCTCTGTACGTTATTTCGGATTTGCTTAACATTGTGCGAAAAAGCATGTGTACAACCCGAGGATCCGTCAACGTTTTTGTAAACAAAGTGGTTTATGGTAGTTGTTATCCCTCCATTCGCATAGATTTGGAGAACTGACGGCTTCCCTGTCGGTCAGTGTAATCAGACAACACTCATAAACAATTGCCTTCTCGTTCTTTCATTCCAAGTTTATTCCATAAGCTGTAGGTCTACTTTATCTAACGGACACTTTTGTTCTCAATCGCGTTTTCTTCCAAGTGGTTCACGGACAATCAGCAGGCTCATTGCACATGGTCTGCTCGTCAACACAGCTCTCCTTCACCGTGGTTTTCTCGAAATGGCTCGAACATTTACGCTATGCCGTCAGCGCCAGTCAATGTTAGTTGACTTGCGGCAGCTTGTGCCTGATGTTGACACACGATGTGAGTGGTTAGATTACCAGGACCGGCTGCTTACTCTAAAAGACATTCTTTATTCGTTTAATGATTTTCCTTTCAGTCCCCCATTTTGCTATCAATTTTGATCTACTCTCGGATTGAGGCTAACAAGGATTAGACCAGGCTTATGCAAATTTTATTTTATTCTTGACTAATCGCGGTTGATCGTAGCGCTGTTATTTGCATTTGACGTTGTCGTAGGTGCGAGGGACTTGTGCTAGCTATCAATTGTAGCTTTTTTGGGGCTATCCTCCTAGCATCCACCGTTTCATTCGTACCAGGTAACACGTTTTTACCCTCTTTCTTTAAACTATATTTCTGTTACATCGAATTTCTGCTGCATTTCATACTGCTCAACGCTGTCCGTATTGTCTTAACAGACAGTTGTGTTTGAGCGGTTGCGGATCACTTTGAAGGCTTTCGTGTAGCACTGCGTTTACAGTTGTGCCGTCATGCCCATCCTTACTTGTGCCCATTTTTGATCGAGTTACTCGGCATTGTCTCTCGTTTTGTGCGTACCTTTTATAGTCCTCCTCGATTGCGTTTTACGAAGCTGAACTTGAGCGGGAGAAAATGTTGCGCGAGCAACTCGAAAAAGAAGATGAGGAGTTGCGAAACCAATTGTTTAAAGCATCATCCTTAGGCTCAGGCGTGAACAGTACTCCACCTGATTCTCGAGGTCATAGGGATTTACTCAGAACTCCGCCTCCATCCTCGGGCTATATCGATGACATCAATACTGTTCGTTCAGTCACGAAACCGCCACCCTCAACCATAAAGCCGGTTCCTCCTTCAACTCCCCAGTTCTTTTCTCCAGCCAGCTCTTTGCCTACTCGAATGAGACCCGATTACGTTTACATCCCTCCTCCTCCCAGCGCCGTTCGCGGTGGCTCTCTTGCTCCTCCCTCATTGTTGCCGGCCCCTACATCCTCGGTTGGTGTGAATTGGGGAATACATTCTCATCACCAAGTTAGTATGCCATTGAGAATTCCACAACAACCGAGGCAACCTGATACGGTTCTTATCCCCACACACACCAAAGCGGTGAGCGACTACAATGATTTTTGCCATGTGCTATGCGTTTCTTCTCTCCTATTTTCATCGCGGCAATTCTTGTTTTCTCTGTGCTTGTCCGGCTGAGGAGCTCTACGGTCATTATCGCCGTATTTCATCCTTGCTCAATATCTCTTTGAATTAGTGCCCATGTGCCACCCGCGACTTCTTGCTACTTGTCTGGTTTTGTTACATTCATAGGATCTCCGATCATCGCAAACTAATTTAAACTGCCTTTTATATCTTCCCGAAAGCGAAGACTGAACCAAACTGGCCATACTACCTACCGTGGCTTAGTTACATGTGATCTAGGCAGAATGCTGGCTAATTAGGGCATTCATTACATGATCCGGTTCTCTTCTTGTAGAAAGATATATGCACGATTTTATATTCAGGCGCATTCTCGCCTCCTTGGACCATGGTGGTTTGCATACGAGCATTGCGTATGTTTCTCTTTGTTTATATATTTTCCTCGTTGCGGGATGTATCCACATTTGGCTCCAATGGAACATATGTTTGTTCCTCGTAGTGGTTAAAATGATGCGAGCTAGGAGCTGATCATTACTACATTCGCAAGAATACTTCCTCGACGTACCGATAATTTTGAAGGATATCAGAAAACGTGACTGAGTCTCGATTTTTGTTTTTGATGCTAGGGAAGGGATCTATGATAATCGTATTTACGTCATTAATTCATTTGAAGTACTTTCCATCCAGCGCAATAGTTGGAATTTGGACTTATCAAATTTCGCTCCATCATTCCTATGAGAGGTATGTCTTTCTTAGGCAGGTTGATCTAAAATGTGCTAGATAGGTCCGCAGTTAACTACATCGCGTAATCCCACTTTTTCGTCCAATCATCCTTCTTGGTGCCGGCGAGGATATTTCCTCTAGATTCATGCAGTTCCGTCGCCGTCCAACCTATATAGTTTTCGTGCAGTGTAGACTGATGAGGCTGCAAGCAAGCGCACCTGCGCCATGCAGTGTTGCATAAATCATATTCCATTGTGGTTCACCATATCCATGCCGAGGATGCGAAGGTCCAGCGAGTAGGGCATCTGACAATCTTACCTTAACTTGGACCGCAACAGCTTAGCACAGATCACAGGGCCTATCTGGGTTCACGGTTGGCTAGCTGACTTGATATGCCAAGTGACACTCGGAGCCCATTGCGCTTGGAAACATTGCTGCTAAGAAACAGCCAATGATCGGAGTACAAATGAAAAAACTCGCCACTGCTCGCGCATTGGTAATTCTGTTATAGCGTTCCTCCTTACTATCTGAAAAGTTTAGACAGGATAACTGTGCGTGGATACCCTAGCAGTTGTGAGTATGTTTGATGTCGTGGCACTACATTATAGTGTGCTAAGTTAGTGATTTGAGATGCTATTGCAGCATCAAGACAACAGTCGCTTGCGTCGTGAGTTGCTCGCAGAAACATGTGGCACCTGACGCTACCCGTGTGCTTGACCTGGTCGGCTTTGTCAAACGGTCCACCCTATCCACTGTTTACATGGATCTTCGCACTTCTGAGGATCAGTCTTGGAGCCCGCGAATTCACCCACCTCGAGTTGACCTCTGACTGTTGCACATTTATCCCTTACGTTTATATCACGTAACGTCATGGTAAGGTAAGCGCGGCTAGTTCCGTAACCGTGTGAATCTCGCAGGTACGACGCACAACAACATCTAGTTTACTCATCGTTCGTACGTGTCAAATTTTCTGTCCTGGTTGTTCAAATTACATTCCTTGGATGCGGTCAGGGTGATCTGCCAGCGTGGTAGGGTAGGTGGTTTTTGGCAACTGGACGCTATTTGGCACTGTAGGGACGCGGATGTAGGCAGTGGAACATCGGCAGCACCTTAGCTGCTGACCCCAACGCAGGGACTGCAGAATATCAGTGAGGTGGTTGTGTCTGGGTTATCTCACACGTTCATGTGCCACTTTGATGGCGCTCCTGTGTTTATGATGGCGTGCCCCTGTTTGGCCTGATGGTGCCTCCCGTAATGTTCGCAGATGACATTCCTGCCGGTAATCATCGAGAGAATTGTCGCTTACTAATAATGAGGGCACAAGTGCGTCATCCAATGACTGCTATTCTATCTTTGACGCAACGCATAGCCTAAAAGCTGGCACGCCTAAATCGGAAGTGGCTTCCGGCACTGTCTGGTAATGCTGACCATTGCTCTGCAGCCACTTCTGTTTGTTTTTAGGTCATACGCTACTCAATGATGCAACCTCCATTGAATGTTCGTACTGGGTGCTCGTGGCCACTGAAACTTCCAGTGCGTATCTGGAAACATCATTGAGGGATGGGATCCCATATTCTTTCTAGCTAGCAAGTGTAGACCTTTTTTCTGTAATTGGTATGCGAGTTCACTGCGGGTTTACGCTCTGCTGTGTGTTCCATTTGTTCGCTTACATGGACCACTGTCTGTCCCTTTTATCAGAGTTCTTCATCTAATCGCGTTGACAATGAACAAGGTGCCTTCGTCCACAAACCGTACCAGTTCGATCTCTCTGGACCCCCTTTCCCGTCCACAGATCATGTGCGATGGCCGGAAATTGTACAGGTTTATAACGATGCCATCGTTCGTCCGCTTTGTCTCTCACAATCTACCGTGAAGAAAACAGCTGAATCGCCCCCAAGGCTAGATGTTAAAAAGACTGATGAGCGCGACTTATCTGACTGCAAACCATTACGCTCATTTAGACACAAGAGCCGTTTGAAGATGGAGTCTATGGAAGTCGATGAAGCACAGCTCAAAGTTGAACCAGTTGAATCCGAGCGAAACTCTGTCCCCACCGCGCCCTCTTCATTAAATTCTTTGCACGGCCTACCAACGGGTGCTTGTGGTCTTGCTCCGGTTGTTTTCCTTCAGAGGTGCCTGCAAGAGTCCCGATGTGGGCTTTTTCTGTAAATAACGTTTGAACTCTTCTGGATTCCATCATCTGTTTTCTTAGATAATTCACCTCCAAATATACTATTTTCCTTTAACATCTAAGATTCTGGCGTTTCACGGGGATTAAATGATGATGGAATTGATAGCGCCTGATTGTCCCCCCTTTACTCTCTCCAGAATGCGGTTGCATCGATGGCTTGTATGCTCTAATGGTTTCCTTTCATTTGTCTCTTTGTTTTCTAGTAGTGATTTAGCCACACACTTCTTGGTAGTCTACACATTTAAACTTTTGTTGTAGGTTGTGCACCACTTGCTAGACCTTCGACACCTAATCGCGGTGCTAGTCCGATGATGTTCTTAGTCCCGTCTTCTTTAGTGACGGACTTCGGCATATTCGATAGGCCCACAAGGACGAAACGGCCGTCTGGTGGTAGTCTAACTGGGAAACTACTGCGTTGAACCCTCAGTACAACTATATCAACTCCCTTACTCATGAGCAATATTCAAGGATATTTGCGCAGGTTGCACTGGAGCTCTTTGTTCATCTAGTATTCTGTTTGGTTGCTTGAACTGATATCCACGACAAAGGTGCTCTCTCGCTGCTGACAATGTTTTCCATCCCGGTGTCGGAGGTACCTAACGTGTAGTAGCTGTTATTGGGCACCTACGGAATCCACTCCACATTCACCAATCCTGCGACAACTTAACGACTACGATGTGACCGTTGGATGACCCAGAAAGGTATCAGCGGTACGTCGGCCCACGGTATCGACGTTTCGCTGCCACACGACTACCACCAGTCGCGCGTGGTCTGCGCATACTACGGAGTCGCACGCAACTAAGCAGAATCGGGCCGGTGACCTTTGGGTTACAAGGTTTGGATGTTATCCTTTCGACCACCTGCCGACTCGCAAGACTGATAGATCGATTCATACATTATGCCAATTCAATACTTAATCAGAACATAGTTGCGAATAAACTTATTTTCAACAATTTTCGTCAAGAAAATGCGCTTATTATTTGCATTTTTCTTTAGATAAGAAGCTATTGCTAGTCTAACCTTGTGATGCCGTGTCGAGTTTGCGATATGCCGCGGTCATTACACAATTTTGAACACAACCATAGCTCGATGAGACATAAGGCAGCTGCCCGGTCTATGGCCATGTGAGAATAATACTTTACACAAGCGCTTTATGTTTGCACAATTTGAGCTGTAGTGTGTCAATCGCGATGACCTCCACAATGGCCATCATACGCTTTCTGAGTACTTTCGGTGATCGTTTCGATGGAATGTAGAGTGCTTTGAAGCATTCCTTAGTCTGGGTATGATGTCCACTATTTCTCAGATGCCCAAAAATTGAGCTGTTGACCGGCCGGTGGCCGAGTGGTCTGCGCGCTTGGTTTGCAACCATAAGGTCACCGGTTCGAATCCGTGTAGGGGTGGGCTTCCTCGCGGTGTACTCTTTTCGCTCGCGACTGGTGGTGGTCGCGCGGCAGCGAAGCGACGTTACGGCATACAGTTGACACATTATTATTATTATTATTAATTATTATTATTATTATTATTTGTTGACTCTGTCGTACTGCAGTAAGACCGGACAGTGTTCCGCTATCCGCCTCGAAAGACCTCTAGTTGTGTGTTCGGAAGCATTATTAGTCACTTCTTATTCCAACGATACTGTAACTCATAATTGTACTTGCCTGACGAAAACGCCGAAAAGTAATTTCTCCATACTTTTGCTAGATCGATACCAAGACCTGGCGAATCCTTGTGGTTCCGATAAACGGTGCATCAATTACTGATTAGATGGATCATTTTGAAGCACTCCTGGGGATAGATTGCGATATGCAATCTTAAACAGGACCATAATTCACGTTGACGTGAATTTTTAGTCGATTCGACCACTAGGACCGCATCTGAAGAAGATAAACGCGCAACGTTTACTTCGATGCATGAATTGGGTAGCTAAGGTGCGATGGGAGACTTCGATGAGTTACCATTACTGTTTTAACCGATCATTTCACTGAACCACAGAAATTCACTTCACGAAGTGTCACAAACCGGCAACCCTCTAAGTCAGTCTCCCGGCAAATCATGCCATTAGTTCCTTTGTCCATGACGATATACAACAAAATGTGCTCATTCCATAACCATTTTCGTTCCATTCGTAGGCTCCGATTTCCTTCTCCAACGTTCGTTGTCATGGTTATAGGTAGCAGTGCCGGCTGGTAACCGATTGGCTCAGGCGTCGCAAATGCCAACATCGTCGCGATATTTCTTGTCTGCATGAACTGGTTGTGGTCTTGCAGCAGCGAGGCGTTGATACTGAGTGCCATCGTACTATTGCTGCCTTGCTTATAGCACAGCTACGATTCCCGCATTTCTGAGGCTTTCAACGCCAAACTAAGCGACGTAACTGCATTATTCGCTCTAGTTAAAAGTTTCCCACTAATCATTATCTCCGACCAATTTTCCTCATCGAACATCCTTCCTAATGTCAACTATCAAGTGCAATTTTCGCTTTCGCTAGTATTATAAACGACCTGCTAATAGCAAACAAGCGGAACCGGTCGTTGAGTGCGGTGCTTTCAGACTGGTATTGTCCAGTACCATCGACATATTATTTCTTGTCTCTAGACAACTCGGTAACATCAATCAAGCGATGTAGTCGGTTCAAATGCTTATGGGCATTCCGAGCAGTCACTTCCAATCCTTACTTTTTATGTTCTTTTAATGGACCAAAGGGATGACATTGGCTGACACTAGGATCATTGCAGATTCAGATGTGTGTTGAATTTTCGTCTGCAGCATTTGTTGCCTTTGAATGACTGACTCATCGTCGCCTCACGTTTTAAACTTCTCTTGTTCTGTCTTCTTGCGATCGCCACTATAAGAGTCATTTTACTGCTTTGGTTTGCTGCGTTCACCTCGACACCATTCCCCTTTTGTATCTGTCCGAAGGGATGGATGTATAATACTCCAATTTAAGCGGTGCTGACTCCATTTCAGACATAGGCACTGGATTTCTAGGTCATTAGACCTGGAGTAGCATCTACGTGGTTTTCAGTCTAGAAAAACACTTTAACATGTCAGGGTCACATGGTTGCGCCTGCTGTGTGCACTTCTTCATGCTTACGCCCCACAGACTTTTCTTTCTCATCTACTGCCGAAATCAAAACATGTGGTGCCTACTGCTCAAAACGCAACTGCGGTATGCTACACTTAAATTTATTTGGAGCTCATGCGTTAGCACAGGTGGTTGTTAGTGTGCCTCTCTACCTCATAGCGGATGATGTTTTTTGAGATGTGTTGATAAATTCTGATTTTATACAAGTTTCTCAGAGCAGCCAACGATGCCCAATCTCATCTGCTTCATCTTGTAAACGATATCTTTTACGTCGAGGCATCCTGTCATTTTTTGACCTAGGGGTTTGTTATAACGCTGTGCCCGCTCGCTCTCGGCTGGCTGATTCACGCCTGCTGCTAAATCTGCGCCCATACGCGTACTCTGTTTAACGCCTTGGCAAACCCGACCGGAATGAAGACAGAAGAGTACTCAGCAGACCAGAGTTCTATTAGGGCAAAGAAAGCTCATATTTATATGTCGGTAGCACAATGCGGATTTGACTGTACGCCCACGCTCCGCACATGCTTGTCCGCCCCATCTGTCCAGTTCACCGTGTTGCTCGGGCACTCCAGTCTTTGTCCGCCTACGCAACGCACGGCAACGCGCGTGATGTCTGACGCGCGATTTCATCAGCTTCCGATCAGGCCTTGGCGACAAGCCTGCTGTCTGACGCGCGAATTCATCAGCTCTCGGCTGGGTCCTGCTAACACGCTCGCAGGGACTTTCCCACACACGATAGGTGACAAACGCGCGAGCGTTGGCACTCAGCTTTCTCGCCCAGCTGTCACCTCCTCTTCCGAATTGAGTCAGCTTGCACACCCTTCGAACCTGATTGAGTTCGTAGCTTTTCGCCCGGGGATCGATTTGCAGCCGTTTTTTCTCTGTGACACTTCCTCCTCCGAATTGAAGCAGCTTCCCCACCATGCATACTAGCTTCAAAGCAGCTTTCTTTGTTTTGACGTCAACCAGTTGCCTTGGTGATTTTTTTCTTCTTCGAGATATGTTGTCTGTCTGCCCTTGTATTTCTCCGTGGTTCGGCCTCCGCTGGTCTGCGTACTTGATGCATTTCTTGTTTCCCACCGTTAGCTGATAATTGACTCCACCATTTGTTCGGATCACCCTTCCTGTTGACCACCACTTCCGTCCCCGGAACTCTAGCGCGTAACCCCTGTCACGAATTCTGCAATGACACCCTGTCTGTCCGACGTTTCCCCGCTTGACAACTGCAATGCTTTTCTTTCCTGATTGGCACAAGTCGTTTTGCTCTGGATACTGGTTTAGTGACTGGCTTGAAGTTCGGGGCAGCACTGGTGATCCTGCAGCATTCTGGACTAGGTTGGAGCATTGCTTCGTGGCGTCTGTTCATCTGTGTAATCTGACTGTCATTGCTTTCTATCGTCGCATCTTTAAGTCTGATGGGCACATTTGTTTCTGAAGTGGCAGTGTGGCAGAAGTTTTGCTCCTCCATAGCTTCTGAATTTGCGACCACATTTGCAGCAGGAGTCAATTTGAGCAACTTCTGACATTCTGAAAGAATTTTTTGCGATGTCAGCTTCACTTCCAGTTCCCATTCTACATGAATGTTTAATTTTTGTGATAGCACTGCCATCAACTGCCTCTGTGACTTTTCGAACTGCGTCTGCTGCTCCTGCAAAAGTACCTGCAATTGCTCAAAGCTGACTGCCATTTTGGGTTCGATTGAACCTTCGTCGCCACTGTTATAACGCTGTGCCCTGCGATTGACTGGCCTGGTTGATTCACGCCTGCTGTTTAATCTGCGCCCATACGCGTACTCTGTTTAACGCCTTGGCAAACCCGACCGGAAGGAAGACAGAAGAGTACTCAGCAGACCAGAGTTCTATTAGGGCAAAGAAAGCTCATATTTATATGTCGGTAGCACAATGCGGATTTGACTGTACGCCCACGCTCCGCACATGCTTGTCCGCCCCATCTGTCCAGTTCACCGTGTTGCTCGGGCACTCCAGTCTTTGTCCGCCTATGCAACGCGCGTGATGTCTGACGCGCGAATTCATCAGCTTTCTGATGGGTCCTGCTAACTCGCTCGCAGGGACTTTCCCACACACGATAGGTGACAAACGCGCGAGCGTTGGCACTCAGCTTTCTCGCCCAGCTGTCAGGGTTGTTGGGATTTACCAGACGAACCACTTCAGTGTACGATGGACCTAACTCATGACTGGTGTATGCGACTTCAGGAATCGGCTGTTTTCCATAGCATAGACACCCACATTCGCAATAACAATCACCAACGTATCGTTGGTCAGAGAAAATGCTGGAACTGTTCAATTGGGCTCTTGATTCCGATCCGTTTCCCGCGCGGTTGTCGCGTTCAGCACAATAGTCAACTCCATATAAACTCCATATAAACCCTATGTTGCAAACGCAGCACTATTCATCAAACCCTCTTTCTACCGTTTCAGATTTGCTCTTACCCACGCTATATTTGACGGAGGTGGGGTCTTGTATCAACAACCGTTCCATGTTTTTGAGTGACCCTCCTAGCCAACTACAACTGATCGTTTATGGCGGCAATAGTTACAAAGAGCAGCTGCATCGCATGCGCCAACCACAAGAATAGCGGCTTGACAATGTTGTTCATTGATGCTCCCGCCCCCCCCCTTCCTGTGTTAGGGCAGTTCCGGAGCTGTACATATCACCTTATCACACCTGATGGAAAGTTTTGCAGGAGATCTATACATACAGCAGCTAGGCTAGGCATTTATTCCTCCATGAGAGGAGGGCGTTTCTGTCAATCGGATGTCCTACACTGTCCGATATTTTACCCATCAAGTGTGTGATCCTTTTGTTTTCTCTATGTCTGATCGCCTTAAGTCGCACCAATGTCTTCGCGATTTGGCGCATGCCTATTTGACTACGGTTGGTGTTTAGTGCTTTTTCATTTCCCAGGTGTCGAGACCGTGGTTGATCTGAACTATGCGGATTGTATGCTTATGAAGCTCGGCGAGCACGGGGCATGCCACTCAAGCATTGGCCGACTCTGCAGTGACCTTATTCTCTGGCATGTTCTCTGCACTTTCAAGGTGCGTCTTGTTACGAGACCACCAGCTTCCTACTTGCGTCCTGTTCTTGTTACGGAGGATGCAGATGCTGTAAGGCTTTAAGGCTCAGTCGCTGACCGTTCAGCGGAAACTGGATTCCACATGGCCAACCCTGTTCTTGCTTCATGGTCTTGTGAGTGGGCTTGATAACCAGAAGCGATGGCTTACTGCAATCGTCTTCTAACAAGACTACTTTTTTAAGGTATGCATGATATTGAGCCGTCTACGGACTAAGGCCTCACGGATGAAGCAGTGTCTTCACACTGTCTGGCATTTGGGCCCATATTGACACCAAGACGTGCGTTTTACCAATGGCCAATAAAACGAGCATCTTATACCCGATTTGATGGGTTCATGTCGGTCGCGGTGAACCCATTCGCATTTATTTGCACATCAGACGTAGTGAAATGAACCAGATAAAGTTGGGAAATACAGGCGGGTGAAATCACCAACCAAGCACTCACAACGAATGGGGTCACAGTGCAGTTGTCAGGTATAAATCCGGAGCGTTGAAATTTATGGGGATAGTTACAAAACACTACTGACTTGGCGATTGAGCCAAGCCTGATAGAGTCCCCAGGGTCACGCTCCATCGTTGACCGGCTCCATCTTCGGACCATCATTCATGTATACTTGTACCAGCGAGTTGGTAGTTTGAATCTTCATGTTTTCTAGTAAAACTGACATCGCATCGAACGGTCCTTTTAACTTGAATTAGATAACGTGACCAAGTGCTCTTTCATGCCTTCCAACGGCCTTCATCAGCGTTTGCTATTTACCGTCGTTGCACCTGCCCCGGAAAGTTCTCATTACCTTTGCCCTTTGCTTGAGGAGCGACAAAAATACAGGTGCGCTTACATAAACATTCACAACCGAAAATTTTTGTTTCGTTGTGTCTATTCATCAACATTTGTTTTAACGTGCCATTTCCCTGGCCGAATTCGCTGCCAAGTCGTTTCCAGTGGTGTATCCTAGTTTCACCATCGCTTTCCAATTGTTCGCTGCATACTATTGGTCCTTAACTTTATCTATTCTTATTGGTTTTGCTTAGTCACGCTTGTCAATGCCCTGGTTGATTTCTAAAGCTACGCCTCAGTTGGTCTTCAGCTCATAGAATAAGTGCTGTTTCCTTTCTAATGAACCCTTATCCTGCCAGTATCGTGTTCTCGCTTTCGTAATAGGTGGAATCAGTTGGTAAACGTGGGTCAATAAAGTGGGCGTCTGTACCAGGGTGCTGCTTGCTGACATCGTTAGTGGGGACTTCCGGTTTGACTGTATCACCCGCTCGTGACTCAAGTCATACTGCATATTTCCTAGTCCACTGATGCACTCGGTTGTTGCCTCCTTACTTTTTGGGTTTATACTCGAAAATTCTATCGTTATTGATCCGTATCACATGTTTTCTTCCTGTTTCAGCAAGCAGTCAACACCACATATATTACTCTTGGTTTGTTTACCCATAGTTACCTGATACACGACCGCAAATGCCTTTTAGCCACACGGAAGTGCGGTTTCTCAGCACGTATCTGGCACACCGGATTTGAAATATTTGATATTATATCAACAGATAACTGCTTGCGCGTGGGTCTCCAGTATTCCGGTAATAGCTTCTGTTTTTTCACATACTCCCACCAGTTAATAGGCACGAAAATGTCCTGTTAAAACGCAAGTTTGATTACACTTCCTCATTGCTGCCATTATGATGTGATTTATTGCATTGCATGGTTAAAACCTAGGCCAATCTTCCTCCATCCATCCCATCACGTACATGTGTTAGGTCTTGGGCCTGCACATCATGATAAGTTTTGTGATTCCGTTTAACTCGTTCTTTTTGGGACACTTGAACTGTAGCGGTTTCTTTTGCTGGACTTTCAATGCACCATGTCGGGATAGGGGTTTTACTCAGAGCATACCGATGACCAAGACCCGGCTTTTTATACTTATGACGATCCACTAATATATCTTGGAAGTTTGAACAGTACTATGATTAAATTCTTTTTGCTTCTTTAGCTAAACGTCGCTAAGTCACTTTTATGGACCAGAGTTCTTGGCACTCAATTCCTACACGGTCGGCTGCGAACTGTCTCAGCTACTTCTATGGGTAACAAATGTGTGGACGAAGTGTGTGATGGGAATTGCTTGCCTGCAGTTCGCAACGACGTACTCTTAGACAAAAGTCGTTTTGACGATGTGGTACCGATGCTGGTTGTGGGCCTGGTTTGCGATTCTAAATTTTCTCGCGTTTGTCAGGATATCAAGAGTTGCTTCCATACATTTATTCGGATTCCAAGATTGACACGAACATAGTGAGTTTTCAGCATCTCCATTATTTGATACCTAGAAAATCAAACTGATACTGTTAAAAACAAAATTCCATACTTCGTATAAAGCTGTACTTACGAAAGTGCAGTGAGAATACGAACGATCTCACATGCATGCCCTTCGTGTTGTTTCACCAGCAGCAGCCTGACAGTGCACGTATGGGGATGACGTTAAAACCACGACGGGTGAGGACTGAAGGTAATGGGACCTACTCCGTCTCTTTACTGTGTGACCACGGACTGTCGCAGGTGTGCATCAAATTGATACGACAAGCTTCGAAACTTCGGAGCAGTACACGCACGCTAGCGGCTCTACAGAATTTGCCGGTCTACGGAGGACACCGGCATCTCATCTGGTTGACTTCGCGCTTGACCCATCTCGGTTTCTGTCTTTATTCTAGGATTCGAGACTATTCTGTTATACGTATGCACCGTCACGTGCGATTTGTAAAGCGTAGTGTGGCTCAGTATTGATGCTTTTGGCTTCTTTTATCGAAGCAGAAACTAACTTCGCACTAACCTGTGCACTACAGCCTCCGTCCTACATTCTGTTTTAAAACTAGCACAGCTACATAAAAACCGGTATGTTTCTCGACTTCGCGAGAGACAGATCCCAGGCAGGGTCAGACCCAGTGTATTACACATATTTTATGCTCTCACATTATGTTGAATAAATATGTCCAAGGGCAGATGTTTAGTGGTATGGAGCAGGAGTACAAAAATAATAAAAGTACGGGTGTGTTCTTGGGTTTCTTCATGAGATTGTAACTAGTTTTCTTTCTTGAGCACTACCGATGTTGGAAGTTTTCGAATGCTCATGTTCCGTTCGTTACGTTTGGAAAAGGCATCCATGGCAAATATTAAAGAAGAAATGATCGAAGTTAACCGAAAAAGTAGAAAGTTATATCTGCTCGGTATATCGATAGGTCAGCATCGAAACAGTGAAAGGTTTGTAAAAATCTGTGGCAATTTTGGTTAACTCTATTAGGATTTCGCTGACCAACATTGACATTGCTTGGTGTCCATCGCGCAGTAACAAGATGCGGTTTGGCCACATGATCATCTTGCATCGATACTTAACATGACGAAAAGAATAAAATTAGACAAGCGAGTGGTAGTGAAGATGGCAAGTGCAAGAGATGAACTTGTTAACGGGAATCTACCTATACTCTGATACTTATATTCTGTGATCATTAAGCATTAGGAAGCAGCTACAGTTGAAAAAGTTCTCTCTTTACCAGCATTCTATATATCGACGCCGAGTGAAATTTGGACATAACAGAAGTAGGAACTTTGGAGATAGCAACTCGGTTTGTGGGCATAGCCGAATAAGAGATGGAGAGAGGATGATCTAAGAAGCAAAGAAAACAGCTCCGTTTGTTTCCCATTTCAGCTTCTATGGGGACGCGGGCACCGCGAGGTGGGCATGACCAAGTGAGCATAGAGAAAAAAGCCCAAAGCGTATAAATAAGAGCTCGTTTTGTTTCTCCTATTCAGTTCTCATGTGGGTACGGATGCAGCAAAGAAGGCACGACTGAATAAAGGACGAAAATTAGGCTGAAAGTGATGTCTGGATTCTACACCTTTGTTATATGTTACCTACACCGTTTTCAAATACTTCATTTATTCTTCCCGTTGCACTCGGGATATTTGCTACTGTATTCAATGTAAAATACTCTTATATTTCTCTCTTAAACATCTTCAGAGGTCTGGTTTGCTGAACGTTTTTTGGTGGTTGGTTCCATATCTTTGAATACACTATCCGGAAGCATTTCTCCCTTGTCCTGGTGCGGCATCTCGGCACAAGAAGCTTCATTCCGTTGTTTCTGCATTGGCAACGTTCACTGATATCTCTGTGCACGGTATCGACGTCAACATGGGCAGAATAGTTGGTGATGATAATAGAGCTTGCTTATTAGTCTCCGCAACCATAAATGGTCAAAATCAAGTTCTTGAGATCGCTCATGGTAAGTTATGGTAGTGGAGTACCCTGCTAGATGCTTCGTGGAGCGCCTCCGCAGCCTATCAATAGATCCACTGTGTGGTGGCTCAAGCGTTTGGCTTTCTGTGTTCACGCCCCTGATTCAATTCCTATGGTGTCCCACCTCTACTGCAATCACCTACGATTACATGACAAAGGAACATCAGTAACGTTTATTGGTGTGTTGTCCCCATTGTAGTGTAATTCTCATTAAGTAAGCGTTACGTGCCAGTATTTTTTCTTTCAGCACTATCTTTTTTAATGATTTCACTCTTATTTCGCTTTTCTGTATCTTGGATGCCAAGATCCAAGACACCCGTTTGACACGACTATGCCGGTACTCGCGATACTACCCCATAATCAAGCCCAGTGCGTGGCATCCAATCTAACTATGGGTATTCCGCGACCTAGACGGTCTCGAAGGTTCATTTTTCATCACGAAACGATCTTCACACACAACGTAGTCTTGCTAGCCGGAGTAATGACGATGTCTGCGGTCTTATGTTTCAAAACATTTCGCTTGGTTTTGTTTGTACTTTCTAGTTGGTTTGTACTGCATTCATATTCGGAGCGTGCTGTTGTTCCATCTCTAGCATGCATTGGAATTATTCCACTTTTTTCGCCTCTGTTCGAAAGGCTACTCGCCAGGATGTGTACCATCGTGAATCTTGATTCACTTTGTAGCACCACAGTAGCTGAATTGTTATTCCATCACCAGTAAGTACCAGGGGTCCGTACTCCCTCATCAGCTTTCCTCGTTTCATTCTGATAATCGTTTTTGTTGCATTGATCTAATCGGTGCGTTTACGGTTCTGCTTTGCGTCGATCAACACCGTGAACGCGTGCGTCGGTAGTACAGGTTCACGTACACGTAGTACAGGTCACGCGCCTAGCCACGCCGTCCAATTAGGAATACCTTTTTAGATATGCTACGCCCTCTCCAGGTTCAAGGAACTAGATCATGGATACTAACAATTTCGAGCGACTGACTCGGTGCCATATTCATACAGGGTTCGATTTCAGCGTTTTTTACTGTCAGTTCCAGTACCTGTGTCATGTGTTGCCTTTTTACGTTGCGATTCTCGGTTTGAAAGTTGCATTTTTGTGTGGTTCCAACATTGCACCATTTCTCTGGACCATGCATATCTTTTAGCCACGAAATCAGTTAACTTTTGTGCATAAAGTTTTTGTCTCTCACCGCTATTGACGTTATATACATCTCGTAATTTTTATTTCTTTACTTCTTCACGAACTATAGCCGGGATTCCTTGGGTTTGTTGCGCAAACTGATGCTGCTAAACCTGTCGTCTTTCGATGACGGAAGTCCATCATTCGCACTACTGAGGTCCCACAACATCGAGATTTCTTTTGATCCGTGTCCTTTGGATGAATCGGTCGTTGCGACGCATGTGTTTCAACCAACACGGACACCGCGGGCGATGGATAGCTCTGTTCCCACTCTTGTTCCTGATATGGTAGATGCTATAAAAGGCCCTGGGCGCGTGTGTCTGACAGTTGGATACGAAAACTATCCCTTCGAAGCGACATTAAGAGCACTACTTCCAAATCACGTGTCACCAATCTCCGGGTTCACCATGATCGGACATGTGGCGCATTTTAATTTGAAACCAGACGCTTTACCATTTAGGCGTTTGATTGGTGAGCCAGCTAGCACTGTTTCGCTTACACTGTATCTAATATTCGGTTGCTCTTCGTCCATGCCTTTGCTTATAGTTAGTGAATGTAGTGCATTCCATAATAGTCCATCGTAGTTTTTCCTAACTGGACGAATGAGAACCGGTGTTTTTTGTCACTAAACTTGCAATTTGACTCGTCATCGACCCAACGCGCCGTTTGTTCGTTATCGAGCTCCTATTTTCTTGCGGCTCCACTCGCCATCGGTGAGCAGTGTCACCACTTAGACACGGCACCACAGACGAATAAAGTTCGACCATACAAGCACGTGTGCACCTAAGATGACTACACCTTTTCTCCGTCAATAGCATCCACATTGCTTTCATTCTCCTCCTTAGGAAAATTATGTTCCTCCATAGATCCCTCGAGATGGTCCTTAACACTATCAAATTTTATCCAACAGTTGCAAACACCTCTAAAATATCCTTTGAGTGACCAATCTAAAACCATCGTATAACAGATGACTGCGCAGAGTGGACTACCGTTCATTGATTTGGGTTTGATCACTCAGTGAACAATAGAATTTGGGAGTGTTCGCTCCCGTCGGATACAATTTGGCAGCGTTAAGGACCATTTTGAGAGGTCTATGGGTAAACATGACTTCCTTAAGGAGCAATTTATAAGCGTCATGGAAACAATGGTCGGAAAAGGTATTGAGTGAAGAGCGTCTGACTTTTTTCTAAGGTCACTCTTGGTTAATGGCCAACAAAAGACTATCCATCGCACTAAAGTACAGGACGCTGTCAGACCCAAAGTAATTGTAGTAATCGCACCGTTTCATGGATGCGTATATCTAGTTTCGAATGAATTTCCGTTTGTTCATGCCTGCGGTGTGGTGTGGTTTTTAGGCCTTCTTCCGTTTCTCTTCTACATTCATATGAATACACTGTTTTCTCTGAAAACGATCAGTTTTCATGCACTTCCTCGTCACCACAAACGTTTTCCCATCACGGTTGTCTCCCGCGCTCATTCTCATCGTTAGCTCTGTACGACAGTGTGGCCGATTTCATTCGGGATTTAAGACAATGCTCACACACAGACGCAATAATTTCACACACCTACTTTATCTCTTTTTTGTTTTTCGACGATCTTGTTCATTTTCTACTGCACAAGTGATCTGAAGCTGTCACACGATCTCCACGCAACTGAGTTTTCATGGGGACAGAAGTTGTAGGGATGGGGTTAGGGGCTCAATCGCGAAGGTAGTATAGTAGTTTGAGCCACGCGGTTCGACTTCTAGTGCTGACACCGTTCACATTAAAAGCAGGGTGCTTGGCCCGAGACACTACAGAACAGTTTGTAGCCGGTTGTCTACTGTTGCCTCCCAACCGAGCTGTATTTTTAACGTTTATGGATTTCGATCATAACATGGGATAATGGAGACCGCCAAGAAGCTACCCTATTCATGCCGCTCTAAATTTGCACATGAAATATCTAAAACATCTCAAATTAATCTCAAGTCGTTTATTCAATGCGATGTCATTCAACTTCTGCAAACATATGTTTAACTGCATCATCCTAAATGCTGCTGTTGTGGACATCAGACATTAGTGTTGTTGAGAGGGCTGTTTGGAATTTCTAGCCTTACTCCGGCTCGATTCATCATTGTATGACATCAAACATGCTGAAGGCAATCTGCTCGACTGGTTATCGGTGAACAACTGTATGTGTGCAGTTCGACTTCAAACCTTTATTGGAGTTACTAAGCATCATATGAAGACAAGGTGCCTTTTCATCGCCTCCATTTATGCCCCTATTGAATGCAGTTCAGAGCGTACCAAAGATGATTTCTACTATCATCTCACATCTCCTCTACGCATGGCGATGTACACCGACATCGTGATGGTAGCTGTTGACTTGAATACCCAAGTGGGTCGTTTTCCAGACGCTGAATAGCACCTGGGCGGCCACTTTGGTGTCGATGCACGCTGAACAGACAATGGTAATCGAGTTTTTACAACTGTGCGCTGACAACGATATATTAACAGCACTGCTTTCCAACACAAGCGCTCACACTGAGTCACCTGGCTTCCACTGAATTCCTTAATGACCTGGACCCAAATTGACCATATTGCCATCAGCTACAGATGACACACATCAGTCCAAGACTGTTGGTCGATTTGGAGCTCGTGCATGAATTCCAACCATGCTATAGTGTGCGCACGCCTGAGGCTCCTTCCCACTTCAAAGAAGCGCTTATCTTCTAATCTTCTTGCCTGTAGCTTGAACTCGCAGTCTGTGGTTCAACAACATCATAAGGAACTAACAATTGTCAGTGATGCATGAGGTTGGTGGGCCGAACGCTGACTGCCATCGTATTAAGTGTGTCGTGAAGAATTCGTTTGACACTTTCTGTGCACCCGACTTAAGACGTCATAACTGTGTACAGATCTCTGCGGCATCGACCAGTTTCATCGAAACCTTTAATGGGTTCCGACGGTCACTGAGCTTCTGTGTATCCGTAACTCCCTGAAACGACGTCTGACTAGGAATCTTTGAGTTGACCGGGTATATTGGTGGATTGAAAAAGTCCTTAAGATGGAGAAAGCCAGCACTATTGGAGAAAGCCGAGTACGATTCCGGTTTATCCGGAACACGTGTCCGAGAAAGCCATCGGTTACTGAAACAATAGGTGAGAAAGGTAGACAGTTGATTCTTTCTCAACGTTTTCGACTAACCCATTTTGCGGAGAAGTTCAGCAGACGTGCTGCGACACTGCCGCTTGCCGAATCACCTGAGCGGACGTGGGAAGTAGATGTCAGACCACTCTTGTTGGATGAGATTCGACATGAGCTCGCCGTGTTGAAAGGAAACGAGACTCCGGGTCCCGACGACCTTCCCCTATCTTTACTGAAAGATGGCGGTGACTCTTTGTCGACTAGATTTGCTTCTCTTTTTAACACGCTTTGGGACACTGAAGAAGTGTCTCTAGACTGGCGACTGTCAACAGTTTTGCCCATCTTCAAGAAAGGTCAGCGTACTGTATGCGCAAATCACCGAGGCACTAGCCTTATTTTCCGTGTTTCAAAACTTCCCACGGGTATCTTTCTTCGACGTATTACTGGTCCGCGTTAGAACCGAATCACTGAACGCCAGGCTAGCTTCCGCCCTGATCGTAATTGCATCGACCACCTATTTATTCTTCGCCAAGTTTTAGAGCATACGTGCGCATACAGACGACCGACTCTGGTGGTTTTTCTTGACTTGAATGCCGCCTTCGACTCTGTTGATCGCGCCAGCTTGTAGTACTGTCTATCAATGAAGGGCATACCAGCTAAATTCCTTTCCATTTTAAAGTCCCTCTGCCTTGATTCCCGAGACCATGTAAGGGTCTATAGAAAACTCCTGAGTTCCCTTGAACAAGTGGGGTTCGTCAGGGTTGTCCTACATCTCTTTTCCTCCTCTACTTTGTGATCGAAATGCTCATGGATAACTTGGCTCCTTCAGACTATTCTGGAGTGAAAGTTCTGCCGGTCGACCGACTGACAAACCTGGAGTATGCGGACGACATAGTTCTCCTTGTGTCTGATGCTATGGCTTTGCAAACATTAATGCACAGACTTGTGTGTAGCTCTGCACGCTTTGACATGTGCTTTGCACCTTCAGATTGCAAAGTGCTGTTGCGGTACTGGATCGACACATTTCCGGTTTTAGCTATTTTCGAACAGCCAGTGGAAGTGGTGGATCGGTTCACTTATCTTGGTAGCTGTGTCACTTCTGGTTGTCACATCACTGAGGAAGTTACTTCGGGTATCAGCAAGTCCTGAGTGGCTTTCCAGAAGCTCAGCCATCTATGGAGAAGGTAGGGTGCATAACACTGTCATAATACCTGTTACCGTATGAATCGGAAAACTGGCCAGTTTGCTTTGTATATATTAAACGCTTGGCCGTGTTTGACCACCGGTGCTTGCGGAGTATTGATCACTTCTGGTGGGAACACCGGGTGAACAATTCTGAAGTCCGCCAGCTGCTTTTTGCGAGAAGCCTTCTGGGACCTTTCGAGTGTTTGATAAATCTTGCTTGCGTTCGCTAGGAGATGTCCTGCCGTTGATCCGCTTCCTCAGCGTGCATTATATTCCATGGCCGCACCAAGTTGGGCGAAATCGCAAGATATCCAGTTCATGTTGTGGCATAGAAGCTTGAAGAAATTGACTGAGAGACTTGGTCAAGTTGGTGCGTGCCGTCTTCGCAGATAGGGGCCTCTGGACGGTCCACACCAGTGCTTGGTGATCGTGTCCGAATGGCACAGTCACGAAGTCATTGGCGTTCCTGCATTCGGGTTTTTTCATCTGGTTGGTAATTTTCGTTCCATTCTGATTAGTCTAACACATTTCCTTGCTTTCCTTTTCTCTACATTCTATTTGCTCCCTTCTCTATCCTATCGGTGTTATTTATTGTTATTCTTATGGTGTGAGTCGTGTCAACTGGATCCACCGCATTTCGGTGCTCGAATCATAGTTGTTCAACTGAACTCAGTTCAACTGCCGTTGAAATCTCTTGTTGATTTAGTAGATACCGAAGCCGTACATCAGGAAAACCAGAGAAACTACTGCCTGGTAAGACTCCACACCACTACATTACATGCGAGTTCCTAGCAGCGTGTCCCGTATGTTCCTGTCCCAATGTGATTTTTCGGTGGTTTATCCGTTCAGTGGTATGCGTTGATCTCATATTTACTCTTACCCTAGCTTTGCAGCAGCACTATGCATGCATAAGATTTCTCATAATTTTAACCATAAAGATTTCACCCGTTGCAAAGATCGAAAGTTCAGGCAGAGACAATACCTTACCCGAAACATTCAACGCCTGCGTGAAACAATTGCTTCCACTGCCTTTAGTTTATTTTACGATGCAGACGTATCGAAGTGTTGTGACCAGTTAACTAGTTTCGCAAACTTTTGTTTCGACACCTGTTGTCCAATTGAAACAATTTTTATCCGTGCCGACAGATTCTTCTCTCAAAATCGCAAACGACTGCGTGGAAAAGGCTTCAAACGCAAAGATCTTACATCAGTTTAGTATCTCTGTATTGATATAAAACTGGAATTGCGTCGACTCAACGATATCTACTTTCAAGCCATACTTGCAAACAATAATTATCGTGAAATACGGAAAATGCTGAAACCGTTAAGTAAAGTCACCCGCGAGTTCACACATTCAACTCCGGATGTAGAACAACTAAACCTCAATTTTCATGACAAATATGGCACTTCGTTGTTTGATGTATCCTCTGCTGTTACTGCTAGCCTCAGATAACCCTTCTGTGAACAGCCTGGAAGTACACAGAGACCGATTCGGGCTGCAGGTGAACAAAGCACCTGGTCCGGATAAATCGTGTCCTGTGGTTCTCAAAGAGTGCAGATTACCTGGCCGAGCCCCTCGCCGACTTATACACACTATGCATCAAGCAGTGCAAGATAGCTGACATTTGGCGAAGCGCACGCATCACGCCAATGCCAAAGAAAGAAACCTGCAACTATCGGCCAACCGCTTGCACGTCGGTTGCTCTTAAGACATTTGCGAGGATTCTTCTTAAAAGGATCTTAGCAAATACCTATTTGGATGACCCTCATGATTTTGCATATCGCAGCTCAGAGTGCATCTTAGATACGGTAGCATATCTGGTACATACTGTATTCTCGTCACTGGATAATAAAAACAAATCTATCCGCATCTGCTTCTTGGATTTTAGCAACGCTTTCGGTTGTGTGACTCGTGAACTATTGTTACGCGATCTATTAGGTTCCGGAGTCCAAACTACTGTTGTGCTTCTGTTGAAAGTTTATTTTACCAGGTGTACGCAGTTTACCCAGGTTAATGGGGAAGATCTCTACGTCAATCACAACGAACTCTGGCGTTCCTCAAGACGCCATTTTGTCCCCATTCTTGTTTTCTACTTACGCTACCTCCATCCCCGTTCCTGAAGAAGCCATCCTGCTGAAGCACGCAGACGATGTAATCCTTGGTGTCCATCATCCTAGTAATGAGTTATCGGCCAAGCTACAAACCCTCTTGGACAAGTCCCGTTGCCTACCGGTAAATACCTCAAAATGCAAGGATGTCCTTTTTACACTGTTCAAAGGAAATTGCCATCAGCAAATCCTGATGCAGCGTCCACAACTTTGCACTGACGGTGAATGTTTGACCTCTTCCACTTCAGTAAAATACCTTGGAGTGACGCTGAGCACTGCGCTTACATGGTCCCTTCACGTAAACGAAACATTTGCTAAGATTAGAAAACTCTCATTCTATCTTACAAATCTCGGGTCTTCTTCCGTACCCAGATTTTTGATCCAGCATTTTATCACTGCATGTGTGTTGCCCCACTGGACCTATTACTCTCCAGTTATCTTTCCTGGTCTCCTGAATAAGAACCTTAAACTAATTGCTATCCCGGCAACAAGTTTGCATCTAAAATACTCACAGATGTTAGCCATCCCCTCCACAGAGCTTTGTCCGAATGCCTATCAACCTCCTCGACCAGACAAATTTACAAAAGTATATACGCCCGCACAAGAGTTTATGGCACCTTTGTACTTCCTTTTCTGCCACGTTTTTTTAACAATAAAAATTCTGTCATTCAAGAATTGATTAGTAAATTTCTCTGGCGATATTTACTCTGCCAAATCTTTTTTAACGATCGTCGTTTAATAGTTATTCGCAATTACCGTCCCTTTTCATTATGTATCCCATTCCTTGGCGTGTGTGTTAGAGCCGAATATTCCCCCTTCAAGAGTTCATAAAGCATATTCTTGACTTGCCTATGTTTTTTCTTTGTTTCTCCCCTTCCTTTCCCCATTTTCTCCACCACATTTCACTGTGATTATTGTCGTAATGCATGTGTTAACGGCTAGATCCACTACACTTGGGTTATTTTTGACTTACTGGACTAATCTGAACCTTGTCGATACTGTTCCCCATGTATCAGCGGTCCTAATCACTGACTCATATAAGTAATGTCGCAGGTTCTAGCGCCATAATGAATGGATGGAGTGTGCACTGTTGACGATTCCTGAAAGAATGAGACGACTGCCCAGTGAAATTCCGGACTTATACTAGCTCTCCGATTGAGTCTAGTTGCAATGAAATCAGCGGGCCATCCAAACCTCATTGTAAGCCTGTAACTTAGTTAGCACAGGAATTCTCGTTTATCGAAATTCTCACAACAAGAGCTTCAACTCTAACGTCAATCAATGAGCGACTGTCGGCAACGTAAAGCGTTTGCTTCACCAGGTTATGAATTACTCATCTTCTAAATGTACACAGTTGGATGAACACGTCGCTCATTTTTAAGCCAATGTTGGAAACCTTCCCTACCTTTTGCCATATGACTGTATCAGTGACAATGTTTTCCTCTTGACCCGTCCTATGTGTATCCGTTACTTGTCATTGGTATCCTGCTACGAACTAAACTTTATCACCGTTGCCTGGAATGTGTTAACTGGCATCGTGTGTCGCTGTCGTTCATGTTGCCTTGTTTCCCTTTATTCCACTGAAGGTCAAGTCGCCTTGGATAAACTCGCCAATATTCGCACAGTCATCCACAAAGCAGCCAGCATCGATTCAACTTACCGTACATTCCAAATCGATCTAATGGCAGGTGATCCGGATTATGTGACGGCAGTGAAGGAGCACAACTTGACCTTCCATTTGGATGTTTCAAAGGTGTACTGGAACTCCCGTTTGGGTAAGCTAGTTGTGGCCTTGCTTGCCCAATCTTGCTTTTCGCGTGTAAAGAGGAGACATTCACTAATCGGTTGGGCTACTTCGATCAAGCAACTGCGCCGAACTTCTAATTCAGAGAGCAATATCTTCATCCGTCATGCGGATAAATGCCGCTCATCTCGCACTCCCGATCGTTTGGGGCAGCACAACATGTCTGCCAACCGACGCGCGTTACACCGCATTCCGCTCCATCGTGCCTGGACCTACTACTAACGAGTCGCGAGCACCGTGTACATGATATTCAGGTCCTGGAGCTTCTGGCAGCTATGGTGTTAGCCAGCCTAGAGCTGCCGCTGCCCTACTCGCGTCTGCCGGAGCCGTCCTACACATATTGGAAGACCGACTTCAATGAGCTAAATCGAGCCGCCAGTGAAGTAGACTGGTCGCTGCCGCAGGATTCATCTGTTGAAGCCTGTTGGTCTGTTATAAAAGAGGGTGTGCAATCGTTGTGCGCTCGTTTTGTACCGCTCAACTATCGGAAAGCTGGACCAGTGAAGCCACGTTGGTTTGATAGAGAGTATAGTCAATTGGCTCGAGGGCGACGCGAATTGTGGAATAAATTCCTCGTCTCTGGCTCTGCCGACGATTATGAGGCGTACAAAATGCAGCAGAACCTATGCAACAGCGCAAAAAACGTCGACAGTTCGAAGAGGAGCTTGCAACCTCAGAGAAGACGGTCCCCAAGAAGATTTTCGCTTACGTGAAGTGGTGCGTGAGGCCCGCAAGTGACGTAGCTGTGTTAGAGGATACTGACGGACAACCTCTGACCTCCAGCACTGAACGTGCGTCCACATTGGTGGAGCACTTCGTTTCCGTATATACATTTGGGCGTGCGCCTATGCCGAGCTCGACGTGTGCAGTCCTACTGAACTCAGGGGCCTTGATTGCGATGTAGCAGATGTCCGCAGTCTACTCGCCAGTCTTGATAGCACAAAACCTACCGGACCCGATGGAATTCACCCACTAATTTTGAAGTCCTTATCGGCCATCATCTCGCCTGCCGTGACTGATCTGTTCAACAGATCGTTGTCCGAGGGTGCATTCATGAGCGATTGCAATTGCTCGGTAGTGAAACCGATTCCAAAAGGTGGTGACCCACGCAATGTGGACAATTACTGGCCGATTTGTCTCACCTCTGTTTTGGCGAAGCTGCTCAAGAAGGTCGTGAAAAGGGTCTTTTCCAGCTGCTAGAGTCGAAAGATCTAACGCCGGCACAATACGGCTTCATGAAGGGCCGCTCTTGCATCACCAACCTGCTGTTGACGCGGCAGGAATGGTTGCAAGCGTTGAATCGGGGAAAGTCAGTGGATCTTATCTACATTAATTTCAGTAAAGCCTTCGATAAAGTGAACCATGAGGTCCTACTCCACAAGCTGAGGATGTGTGCGGTTGGTGGTGCACTGCACCAGTGAATCAGTGGTTTTCTTATTGGGAGATGGCTGGTCTAAGTGGATGACCATCTAACGGACTGGTATCCGTTCACTAGCGGCGTATCACAAGGCACACTACTGGGGCCCATTTTATTCCTGATCCACATCAACGAAGTACCTCATCTTTTTCGATCGCCCTGCGCATTATTTGCGAGTGACTTGAAGATTTGGATGTTTTTTGATTCTCCCGGCGGCTGTAACGTCCTTCAACAGGACCTTGACCGCCTATCCCGGTGGTCTTCAGAAGTTGACTTACCGGTCAACACGGCCAAGTCTTCGTTTATGTGTCTGGGTAGGGGTAGTACTGGGCGTGTGTACACTCTGGCCAGCAACCCGATGCATCCTACCGGTTCCTAAAGGATCTAGACCTACTCTCACGCTGTGACCTGAAGTCTGTCGGCAACACGGACAGACTGTACGCAGACGGAGTCCGCTTGCTTTGGGCACTTGCACGCAGCTTCTGCACTTGGTCTGAAGAGATTTCCACCCGTCTGTTCTCTTCCATAATAAGACCGCTGCTTGAGAACGCCTCACCCGCCTATTGCTCGATCACAATAGGTGAGGTACAGAGGCTGGAACGGGTCCAGCATGTAGCTACCCGGCTCATCCGCAGTTTAAGGGGTATGTAGTACGAGAACTGATGTAGGAGACTAGGGCTTTATACCCTGTCATATCGTCGGCTTCTAGTTGATCTTATTATGACGCACCGGATACTGCACCTGGATCACTTCACTATGTTGAGGTCGCTGCTGCACATTCGCGCACCAAGCAGCACACGCGGACACCGGTACAAACTAGTGGTACCGGATTTAAAGCACATCGTTCAACCTCTATGCTTCGAGCGTCGAGTGGTGAAATGTTGGAACAAATTGCCGGAGGTGCTAGTTGAGACGAAATCGGTGTCGGAATTCAAGAGATTCCTTGATGCCCACTTTCCGGACTACAGGTATAGGGAGCGTAGCGCACCCGGGTTAGCTGTAGTGCAGCTGCAATATGCTGCCACCGCGCAAGAATCAGCGACGTGCTTCCGCGCATGTGCCCGATCCACCTACGATGGAGCAACACAGATTTTTCTCTTCTTGCTCTTTATTCTTAGTATTCGGTAGGGTTCGTGTCGTGGTCTAACTGCTAGAAAAGCCCGACCAAATCGCCAAGAAATAACGCTAGCAAACGTCACACGCAAAGTCTTAATCTCAAGTCAGCCATCTAACATAGACCGCCTTGTATCTACCGATAAACACTCAACTTCTGTGCACACGCCAACGCTTTTTGAACCCACACCACAGTCGCGTCCCCGGGGGCCAACGCGGACTCCCGGGTAGCACGCACTAGTCAGTCGGCTACGTGTGACCTCACCCTAGCGTCATATGCCTTTTGACAGCGTCCTAGGAAATGAACCTTCCTATCAGTTTCACTTCAAAATGCTTTCTTTTAGTCTTTTGACCGAAACGCTTAACGACAGAACACAAATGCATAACTGTTCGCGTCTACTGCTCTTTAAAACTAGCCAACGATCCACTTATCTGTACTCCGATGAGCGTTCGAACCAATAATCCTTCTTTTTTGAGGCAAACATCGCCACAACAAACGCTGTTCAACCACCACTGGTGCACATGATTGATGCAGTGAGTAGGCAAAAGTCCTTCAGATCACTGCTTCTGAATAGGAATTTATATCATCTGGAATCTGTGGACTTGTTCATTCGGGCGAAGTTTGAAACGTGAATCCCAATGGTACAGTTAACTTTTGTCCTGGGGATCTAGCTCCACCATAAAGAGGATGACGGGAGCCTTGAACTAGCTCATGCGACCACACTATTGTGGTTCCGACACAACAGCACTAGTGCTGACAATGATGAGATGAAAATGAGATCAGATTTTCGGATTAACAGACACGCATTTCTTGTCCAATGCGGCGCCATAACTCATTAATGTACATCCCCATACACTACCTTTCGTCATGCCTGCTCATCATTGTTCAGTTTGGATACGTCTAACGCCGCTCCGCGCTCATTTAAATGCTGGTGGCTCCAAGCGAACACTGGATTTCATACACGATGTTCCGTCATTAGTATTGTGACCCCTGACGCCGACTGCGGATCATTTTCACATAGTTCATAGATACCAGTTTCGGTACTTTATCTGTTGAGTATATTCCACTTGGCAACTCTGAGAGCAAGCATTTCATCTTACTCATGTTTATTTTTCGGCCCGACATCTGAACTGTTATCGCCTGCTTTCTCTTGTTCAGCTATCCTTAAACTATTTCTGTTACACTTTACATTGACCGGATATTTTTGCACTTTGTAGAGGCCGAACACTCGCGAATAATCGATAGGCTTTTGAAACCAATGACATGCGGTTCCCATGGTGCTAAGATTGGGCAGTTAGCACCAGAACATGTTGTTGTATACGACATCTTCGCCGGCGTGGGACCCTTCGCCATTGCTGCAGCGAGACTCGGTTGCCAAGTGCTCGCCAATGATTTAAATCCGGATTCCTATAAGTGGCTGGAGCAAAATATTTCGGTGAACCGTTCACGGAAACGTCGTTTGGAAAATATCCGAATTTTCAACATGGACGGTAGGGAGTTCATACGACAAGTCAGTTGACGGATTTGCACTATTTTTATCTGTGCGCTCTCATTGACGAATCGATTTTTAATGGCCACTCCACATAGCCTCACTGACAGTTCACCCCTAGGCCTGATATTTTCGTGCCCATCGTTACTTGAAAAACCGTCGCACAGTTACTGCACTCCTCTCTGTCAATGGTTTCCATGCTTCATCTTCACCCAGCGCAACCATCATTCACTTATTCGACTCGGATTCACTTTCCGTATTCGGTGGTCGTCTTTTTAGGTATCTGTTCTCTACAGATCTTGATTCCTTCAACCACAGATGTTTGAGCATTGCTTTCGCTAAGTTTTAAAAGTGCAATTTTGTTGTTTTTAACGACTCTCACAGCTGCGATATCAACTTCGATAAAATATTCTCCGATTTCGGAATTATTTGGAATATTGGTAGCTCGGGAGGTTTGCTCAATTGTTGTGGTGTTCTCCGAACTGGGCAACTTTATTGCAAACATTTCTCCACCGTTCGAGGTGACATCTTCATTGCAAGACTGATAGCAGTCAGGTAGCAGGAGCTGGGTTTTATTTCACCAGCTCCTACACCTGACTGCTATCAATCCTGCACTGAAGATGCCCCCTTGTGTGGTGGCGAACCGTTTGCAATCAACTTTCCCAGCTCGGAGAACACCAAACCACTGATTCTCTAATTTATCCGATGATCCCACAATTACTCCTACGCGACCACTTCTAAGAAAGCTACAACTTCGCTTGTGGTTTTCGATTCCATTCGCCTGTCTTTGCTATCCACCAACTACAATGCACGTTAAAAGACCTAGCTCCACGCGTGTGCGTCATTCCCGTGACAAACCTGCTTAAGATAACCGAGGACAAGTGCGTGGCCGTCACAACTAACGTGAGGATCACTCACCCACTACCTCACCTGGCCCCACAGGTGCAGTGTACATTTGCGACAACAGACGTTACTGAACTTGATCCCACTTAGCGGCAATTGTGGCGAATCGAAATGCGGCCGGGTGATCAGGATAAGACTGGCCTGCTGTAACCGTGCCACTGCATTCCACACTAAGCGCGCTGACCTAAGTCAACCAGAGTGAAAGTGACATAATGCAACTGATGCGCTCTAGTTTTTCCGGGTATGTGTAGCTATTACAGTTGTCGATTGTATGGTTGTGCTCATGGAAAGTGTGAAGACTAACTGAAACCATTAAACAAGTGGCGAGTCTCGGTGCTTCGCCATTATAATCGACAAAAGCCCATCCTGTTTCCCATCAACCTCATCTGAGCTCATTACCTAAGTCAAGGCGTAAAGTCGTCTTGCTAACCGCCCTGCGGTAGCTACACCACACTCTGACACACCCTAAACATCTAAGCCAGCAAGTCACATTCGACGTGACTAATATTACCCCGTTTATCGAAGCTACATCTAAGGATTCGATTACGGCACCGGCAGCTCAGAGCCGGAGACAATCCTCTGCAGTGAAAATACAGGTAACTTGCGCTTCGGTCGCCCCGATAAAAATGCCGGGAGCGACACCTGTCGGCTCATCGTCTGTACCGCCCACAAGCGTTGCGACGCAGCTTTCACCGTCATCTCCACTGGCGCCTCTTAAACAATCGAAATCAACAACAAAACTGTCAAACGGACATTCGATAGACAAAACCACAGTGCGTTAACTCCCGTGTGCATTAATTCCATCTGGAATTCCATCTGCGACGCGATTGGTATTCGGGTTGAGCCCACTATCATGAGACGAGTAGTGAGTCACTTAACTTCAGTGCACTACGGTGAATTTCGTTTTCTTCAAGTAACCTTGAACTCAACAGAAGAGACAGAGACCGTCCTACTCTCAGCAGTTCCTTTTCGCAACTCATCGGGCGGTGTACACATACTACCAGATATTCATTGGAAAGGGCGGTCAAATGAAAAAGACAACCATTGCGGCTCTTCTACAAACGAAAGCACGAACGCTATATTTGTTCGTCGTTTTCCTGAACTGTCGAATTCTCTTGACCACGAAGCGCAAACACGTGATAGAGAGCCTTGGTGCTACATCTGCAAAGCACTCTTTCCGGACGATGTTGTCATCACCTAACTGCAAGGGTTGCGGTCTAAGATTGATGAAAGTGGTGCTACGCGCCAAGGGAATGACAGAAATTCTATTTGGTAACTGGCTGAAGTTTCGCGCCAGGTGGCCAACCGAGATCCGGCTCAAGGTAGTAGACGCAGGGCCACGAGCGGTCAACACCTCGAGGGAACATGCAACCTAAGTAAATCCTTTGTCTTTACGGATTCGCGGAGAGAATGATACTAATCACCTACGACAAAGCGAAGCACGAGGCCATGCTGCCTGACTGCAATTCGTAAATCCAACAACCTACTGAAAAACGATTAGCGACTGACTACCTAACCCTTGGCTTAAGACCATACCCGAATCTGGCATCCAACAACGCACTCCTAAAATCCAAAACTCTATCCTGTTTGTACACTAACGCCCAAAGCCTTCTTAGTAAGTTGGTCGAAATTAGAGAGCACCTCGCCTCACAACCGCGGGACCTCATCATGATTACGGAGACCTGATTGAATCTTGAGGTAACTGATTCTGAGATCAATTTCTCCGGTAGGTTGCTGTTCCGGAACGATAAGTCTGGAAGCTAACCTCCTATATGAACTTATTGAAAACTCAGAAATTTGCACCCCTGCTTCGCTTTGGTGCCGGTTATGGTTGCGGAACAAATACATGTTTACTAGCCGTAATTTACCGCCCACCAAATTCTACCTCGGAAAGGGACTCCAAACTGAGCTAAGTTTTGCAGTTTGCTTTGAACAATTCATCCAATCACATTCTTATCGCTGGTGACTTTAATGGGCACGCTAGCAACCGATGGTGCATAGTTTAAAGTCCTTTCGTAAGGGCTAATTTCCAGCTATCATCTTTACAACCACGTAATCTCTCCCACCATATTTCGAGCTGCTAACAGGGCGTCGATACTCGATCTTGTACTGACCAACCAAGAACTTCTAGTTGATGGCATATTTACAAGCACACCATTGGGTCGCAGTGTCCACGTTACTCTACTGTTCGACTATATATCATGGCGGGAGCAACCGATTGTACTGGAACAGTCCAAGATGCGTGTTGACTGTCAGTAGTGTTCTACAGTTCTCGGCTACTGGAACTTGTAGGTAAGCATCATCTAGATCGATCTTCACAAATCATTTATCACCGTTAAGCTTGGTGAACAAATCTTCAGGTATAGGCAAAGGATACTAGTGGTTCTCCAACATGGAATTTAGGCCCGTTGGAAAGTTGGCGCAAATACGTATCTTACCTTTTCCTTTCTTCACCACAACGATGGGTGCCACCAATTCTGAATAATTTACGCTCTCAATTATGCTTTCCGACTGCAGACGATTTAACAGACTCCACTATTGGTTCGGTTGCGTACGGCACTAGACCTTTTGGTCTAAAAACTGGTCTGGCGTCTGGTTTGAGGTTCAAGTCCGCTCTGGCTATCCGGCAGCATCCAAGACCGAGTTGAAACAAACTTTCATGGCGTCGCTTTAGTTCTGCAATTTAACTGTGAAATTCGAGGTTCATATTCGGCGTCTGTGCGGGTTTCTCTGCTCTTACTTTCTGGCATAAACTGTTAACTGACTTGTCAAGTAAGTTCAATTCCTCCATCCAATCGAGACCCAGCAAATTAAATCCTGGCTGATCTGTCACAAAACAGGTTGTACGAATGCGCTGATCGCGGAAACTAACCTGACAATGCAACCCTCCAAGTAATTTCAAGATACCCCCCGATGCGTTTCATGCTGTGTGGTCTGTATAGACAAGCGGTGGTCGTCCCAGCATACACCATGTGTCTCGACAAATCAAAGTGATGTCTGACGCTGTATCCAGCTGTATCTTCACTTCTTTATCATTGATTGTAAACTTACGCCTGCTGACACCGTCAACCTTGAAAGTCACCGTCACAGTTTTGGTCTTGTCGTGACATCGAAAACTCACCGGGATTCGACTCCGTTTTCCGCTCACTGTTGATTGCTTCGCAAGACAACCCGACTCTTTGTGTCCTCGCTTAGTACAGGGATTGCAAATGTGATTCTGGAACGGGCCGTTTCGAGCATAGTGCCATTCCATGCAAAACCAACAAGCAGCAGGGAGTTTAGAATGCGCTGAACTCACATGAACCGATTCTTTCTGAGGACTTCGACTGACCCTGCAAATTATATCCTGGCCACTCTGGGTGGATGACTGTTTTACCATAGCGGCATCATGCTTCAACTTCATCAACCTTTGGCCTTCGTTCGTCACTTCCTGCAGTGTGACCTCGGGATTTTGTTCAATTCTGCCCTGCACTCTTGTTCGGACATCAGCATCTTTGGGCGCTTGAAGACCACACACATAAATAAGGCACTTGTACTGATCACCTGTCATCTTATGAAACAGCGACCGTTCATACTCACGATCCACGCGACTCGAGTAACTAACCCAGTCTTCGTCGTCTCTTTTGGGCATTGTCAGACACCTGCACCAGATATTGAATATTGGAGACTACTCTCTGAATATCTGGGACAAAGTAGTAACCGCTTCATCAAATGTTACATCAGTGCTCTTTTTCGGTAAGATAAAATCCATGAACTATTCTTTCTTCCGCCGCGGCCAATTTCCGCGGCATGAAACGAACTCTCTTGTCCTCTGAGACACTGGCTAAATCAACACGAAAAAGTCTTCGTATTTCTGGTACTTCGATTCAAAGGTAATACTGGCATCGGCATCCTAACGGAATTTACAAACTTGCTGAGTCAAGGTTTCTGTTGGGGGGCCACTTTCACTTGCTACTGTTACCGAGCCTGCTTGTAGTGCCAAATTCTTGGTCAGCGTTTCGATTAGCCTGTTATGTGCTTCCTGAAATTGTTCAAAACCGATTGAAATATTTGGGTTCTTTTGGTTTCGCCGTCACCACTGTCGTACTGCCTCTGCTTCACCTGTGAGACTGCTACCG